TATCAGCTTCAAGAGCTGCTTAAAAACTAGCTGTGAGTGATGGAGGGGAATCTAAGGAAAAGAAGTACACTTGAGTTCTGTCCTTTTCAACTTTGCTATATATAATTGAACCAGCTTATTAGCTGTTTTCTCATCAGAGATATTTCCCCCTCTTGCCATTCATGATGCTTAATTGCACTGAATCAGATAAAACAATAGATGGATCTTTTATAATGTAATATGAAAGTATATGTCACCAAAGTAGATGTCACCCCCAGAAGAAGCCGCAGTGACTGCGGGACCCGGAGGACTCGGGTGGAGGCCCAAGCTTACCACCACCTCCACCACCACCACCACCCCTCCGGAAGAAGCTGCAGCAGCAAGAGTCGGGAGGATTTGGGCGGAGGTTTAAAAGGCTACCCAATTATCAGAGTCTGAGCACCGGTGGAATTTCTTTTAAGATGACCGGGTTGCACATTCTGGGGCTTGTAAAACAACCAATTAGATGGAGGGTGGCAGGGGAGAGCTGATGGAGGTAACTGTGGGAGCATCAATTGAGGTGGTGCGGGACAGAGGAAGATATGGCAACAACAGAGTGGAATCTTATTACAAAAGAAGGCGGGTCCGATGTTTAAAAGCGATCTCACCTTCATTTCATTCTGTTGCCCAAAGTAAGTTGGGGAGCTTATCAACCTTGCCACAGAACCTTACCTTGCTCCTTTGTAATGCCAGGTCGGTGAAAAATAAAACTCATATTATCCATGATCTTCTCATGGATGAAGAAGCCGATCTGGCTTCTTTTACAGAAACCTGGCTGGGGAAGGATAGTGCCATCACCTGGAATCAAGCTCTTCCAGCCAGGTATTCTGTGTATGAGCAGGTAAGGGAAATTGGGTGTGTGTGTGTGGAGTGGCTCTAGTTCACAAAGATACTCTTTCCCTGACTAGGATACCCATCCTGAAAACAGACCACTTCGAGAGTATGTACCTGAGCCTGAAAACTAAGGATAGTATAGGGATTCTGTTGATATACTGTCCACCCCGTTGCTTAACAGACTCCCTATCTGAGCTGACGCAGCTAGTCTCAGAGTTGCTGCTTTTAGTTCTGGGTGACTTCAACATCCCACTCGAGACCAGTTTAACAGGTGCAGCTTGGCAGTTCATGGATTCCATGACAGGCATGGGCCTATCCCAGTTGATTTCTGAGCCAACGCATTCAGCGGGTCATACTCTTGATGCAGTCTTTAGTATGGAACAGACATATCTGTAGGCGGAGGTAATAAATACCTCCTCACTGTAATGGACAGATCATTTCCAGGTCAAGGTTGGACTAAGAGCCACTGTCCACCCCATCGGGGTGGAGGACCTGTTAGAATGGTCCACCATCGGAGGCTAATGGAGCCAATTGGATTCCAGAGAGTCTTGGAGTTGGTAAAGCCGGTGATCCTGTTCTTGGTTGGTAAAGCTGGTGATCCTGTTGAAGCTTTGGTTAATACTTGGAACACCGATCTGACCAGGGCTATCGACACGATCGCTCACAAGCATCCTTTCCAACCCACCCAAATCGTCATCCCTGGTTCTCAGAGGAATTTAGGAATATGAAGCAGGTTGGACAATGACTAGAGCGCACCTGGCAGAAAACTCAACTCTTATCTGATAAGACTTGTCATAGGAACTTTCTTCGTTCCTATCGAGAGGCAATGTGGGCAGCGCAGAAATCCTTCTCCTCTGCATGTATTGCGTCTGCAGAATCTCATCCAGCAGAACTGTTTAGGGTGGTAAGGGAACTGACACAGGCTCCCCCTGTGCAGAACCCTTTACTTATCCCGACAACAGCCTGTTGTGACATTTTGAACAACTATTTTGCAGATAAAATATCTCAGATAAGAATCGACTTAGATGCCAGGATTACAACAGAAGTGACTGATGTGGTATCCAGTAAACCCATTTGTGAGATTAGACTGGATCGGTTTGAGTCGGTGAGTACTGATGACGTGGACAAGATCCTAGGAAAAGTGAGGAAGATGACGTGCTCCCTCGATCACTGCCCATCATGGCTGGTCATCCAGGGGGTGATGCCTTGATGGCTTTTCTTAAAGGGATCATCAACGCATTCCTCAGAGAAGGAATTGTTCCACCATGCATAAAGGAAGCAGTTGTTAGACTGCTCCTGAAGAAACCTTCCCTGGACCCCTGGATTTGAAAAATTACAGACCAGTCTCCCATCTTCCATTTCTGAGCAAGGTAATTGAGCAAGCCATTGCCTTTCATCTTGGATGAAACTGATTTTCTGGATCCATTTCAACATGGCGTCAGACCTGGATATGGGGTGGAGACTGCCATGGTTGCTCTGACAGATGACCTGCGCTTAAGCATTGACAGGGGAAGCGTGACCCAGTTGGTGCTTTTGGATCTCTCAGTGGCTTTCGATATGATAAATCATGACATCCTCCTGGAATGCCTGAGAGAGTTAGGAATGGGAGGTACTGTTCTCCAGTGGTTCCATTCCTTCCTCTCAGGCAGGTTCCAGAGGGTGTCACTCGGGGACAGTTGCTCCTCAAAAACGGAGCTCAAATGTGGCATTCCACAGGGTGCCATCCTGTCCCCGATGTTGTTTAATATCTATATGAAACCGCCAGGAGAGATCATCAGGAGACATGGGGCGGGGTGTGATCAATATGCTGATGACACCCAAATATATTTCTCCATGTTTCAGTCAGCTAGTATGACAACAGATGGCAGTTCTCCCCTCAGTCAATGTCTTGAAGCGGTAATGGACTGGATGAGGAAAAACTGACTCAAGTTGAATCCAGACAAAATCCAGACTTACAGTAGGGGCCCCCAAACCAGGTATTGGGTTACAATCTCCAGTTCTGAATGGGGTCACACTCTCCGCTAAGGACTGTGTTCGCAGTCTGGGGGTGCTCCTGGACTTGTCACTTCACATTACAGATCAGGTGAATGCGACAGTCAGGAGCACCTGTTATCAGCTTCAGATGATATACCAGCTGCGCCCTTTCCTGGAAGTAAGGGATCTAGAAACTGTAATATATGCACTGGTAACCTCACGACTCGACTTCTGTAATGCACTCTACATAGGGCTACCCTTATACCTAACTCAGAAACTACAACTAGTACAAAATATGGCAGCCAGGCTGATCACCAGAACACCAAGGAATGATCATATTACACTTGTTTCAAAATCCCTTCACTGGCTGCCTATAGGTTTCCGAGCACAGTATAAGGTGTTGGTGATGACCTTTAAAGCCCTACATGGCTCAGGTCCAACCTACCTAAGGGATCGCCTGCTTCCATATAACCCACCCCACGCCCTCAGGTCCTCTGGGAGGAAGCTGCTTCAACAGATAAAAACTAGGTTGATGGTGACCTCCTAGAGGACATTCTCTGCTATTGCTCCCAGATTATGGAACGCCTAGCCGGAAGAGATCCATCAGATATCCAGCTTAGATGGCTTTAAAAAAGCCATCAAGACGGATCTCTTCCAGCAGACCTACCCAGAATAAACCACTCATTTAGCTTGTCCTCCCCCAGCCATATTTCCCCCATATCCCCAGAGTGCGTATTGTTTTTAACTTCATTTATTGTTTAATTCTTGGTTTTAAATGATATTTGAATTTAATGTATTTTTAAGGGGGGGTTAGTGTGTTTATTTATATGATTTGTTATATATTGTTGGGGTAGTTTATGTGTTGATTGCTACGGCAAAAGTCGTGGTATAAATAAATATTATTATTATTAATTGCCAGGTTGTGCTACTGTCTGGGATTTGAACCATCCATGAGACCTATGAAGGCTACATAAACCTGCACACAAAACCTCTGGAAGTATTTTTTAACTTTTTTAAAAAATTGTAACCTAAAATGCTATTCCCCCCCCATACACTTTTGTTTCAAAAAAGCACTCTCTTGGGCCTGTAACACACACACACATGCACACACACACACAGACAACCTTGGCAAAATTACCCCATGTCCTCTAGAATATGTTAGGGCTATTAAGGGCAATTTAAAAAAATGTTTTGGGGGTACTGGGAGGCATCAGGGACACTGAAAATGTGCCACATGCAGTCCATGGGCTGCACTCTCTTTACCCTTGCCTTAGTGTTTAATAAGCAATGCAATTGCTTCAGAGACCATCTCATCAGTGAATAGATGGGTGAGTGGTTGCTCTAAGAAGATGAAGAAGATTGTAAATGTAATTATTATTGGTGAACTTGAATAGGTATGGAATATATGTAAAAGGTGTCTTGACAAATATGTATTGTACTGATATTTGCTTTTTTTATATTGGATTGTGTCATATGTGTAGCATGTGTGCTTTTATATTTAATAAAGTCATTTAAAAATAAAAGGATCTCAAAAGAAATTCCAACCATGAGGTGTCACTTCCTGCTATTGATAAGGCTTTTATATCAAAAATTAAAATAAATAAAATAAACTTAAGTCCCATTGAGTGGAGCTTACCCCCAGGACAATGGATCTAAAAAAGGAAGCCTCACTGAGCATAGTGTGATTTACTTCTGAACAAACATGCACAGGAATGCCCTGAGAAAAAATAAAACTATTATTTTCTTTTTCTTTTTACATTTCTCCTGTTGGTTTGTATTGCTCTTTTCAGTGGGTGGGGAGCTGGGTAAGTGGGGCAACAGTAGGAGAGGAGAGGTAGGGTAGGATAGGATAGACCACTGCCGCCACCATCCTGGCACCCCTTTTTGGGCATCTGCACCAGGTGACACCCAGTCTAGTGATGCCACTGGTCCCCACTGAGCTATGAAGCTCCTATGGATAACCTTGAGACAATCACCCTCTCAGCCTGATTTCATACCTTCCAAATGTCCTGATTTGGCAGGTACGGACCCAGTTAATCCTCTGTCGTCTTGCTTTTTAAGCTGCTATTAAAATGTCTCGGTTCTTTCTCTTTCTCCTGCTTTCCCCCTCAGCATACTCAAATTTCTGGTGCAAACTGAATACAAAAGTAGTTTGCACTGAAGTAACTCAATGGTGTGGAGTGGAATTGTGGTTTGAGTGTTATACTGCAACTCTGGAGACCAGGGTTCGATTCCCCGCTCAGCCATGAAACCCACTTGGGTAAGTCACATGCTCTCAGCCTCAGGAGAAGGTAACGACAAACTTCCTCTGAACAAATCTTACCAAGCAAACCCTATGATAGGGTCACCTTAGGGTCACTATAAATCAGAAATGACTTGAAGGTACACAACAACAACAAAATGAGAGAGGAGAGGAGAGAAACCTTGCTCTTCCTCGTAGGCTCAGGGAAAAGGAAATGCTGCAACTTCTCCTAGATCATCAGTTCTTCCTTCTCAATAACTTTGGGACATTTTGACCACACTGTGAGATTGTTTGTCCACGTGCCTTGGTTTTCATCTGTGAAATGTTGAAAGTTAGGTGATCTATCTCACAGATTTGTTGTAGGAATAAAGGAAGGATGGGTATGCTGGCTTGAGCTTGTTGGCACTCACTGAGGAAAAGGGGGACATATGATACGTGTAATAAAAGATATGTGCATATGTGACTAAATGAGATAGCTGTGTACATGAGAGAGAAAATGTCTAGAATGGAAAGGGCAAAGGAGGTAACAAATGAGATGTAATTGGTCCAACCTATAGTAACTTTTCCTCCACCCCATTAGCCACCACTATGCATCAAGGCTCATAGATATCTTCATTGAAATCTCACTTGCCTGAACCAAATGCACAAACTGCCGTTGAATCTCTAGTATGTTATTATTTGTAGTAGTAGGATACCAGTCTACCTTTGAAATACCATTAGGTGTCTGGTGTATATCCACATGTGATAATTTATACTATATTGCATTGCTCTTGAGTCCCATTAAGTTCTTTCCCCAGGCTGTAAATTGATAGACGAATGGGGGCACAGGTCCATGCTCTTTGTGCTTAGCATTCTTCAAACAGTAGTTTGGATTTTGACTTTATCTTAAAGCACTGTGAGTCAATGAATTAACAATGAGGGAAAAGGAATGCATTGCAAGGAATATTAAAAATGTACAAAAATTAAACTGGATCTTTTTACATGTAGGAGTTCTCTCAAATTACTCTAAGTACCAAAGAGATGCCAGGCTTCTTGCATCATTATTTATCTCATCACATCCAAACATAGGACCTTATCACATGCGGGGCTCAAAGCAACAAGAAAGCGATATAAGAATCAATCCAGTAACAAACCAGAAAAAACCCCACAATACGTAAATGGCTATCAGAAGCAACTAGCATCATTGCGCAATTAAGGAAAGCGTGATGAAGCGCTCCCCGGGAACCTTATTTACCATTCACACACAAGTGAGAGGATCCCATACAGAACCCAGCTTCTACTCGGAGCCCAGGCCCCGCGCAGGCTTGGGAAGGGGTGTGTGTGTGTG